CTTTCCCTAGTGGACTGAGGAGCTTGTTCAAAGATCAAAGAAGATAGAGGAGGCTCCCACATCACTGTTTTTGAGGTCTGTTCTCTTGGGAGGACCTCAACAAGCTGGGCAAAGGGAGAACCTTGGATACCTTCCGCCCTTACTTCAACATCTGCAATGTTGTCCCCATAAATGTGACCATGGGTTGGTCTCTTTTGTCCTCTTTCTCTGTGTTGGAAGATTTCCAAATTCGAATAATTAGTAAAATTTCCAGCTTAAGGGCCTACCTCTGTGTGTTTCCCTTTTTTGTATGTTTCCCTCCTTTATTTGACTCTTCCATGCCACACCTGGCTATACTGTGTGTATATGTGTTGGGGGTGAGGAGAAGGGAAGGGTTGCCTCAGACAGCCATCTTTCTATCTACATTGTATTTTTTACACATACACACACACGTGCTACTCTCCCTCCTCCTCCGATCATGGAGTTGAATTTAGGAGGAGGAAAAAATGCTGTGGCCTATCAAGACTCAGAATTTGTGTGCAGTGACTTAGAAAGTGTTTTAAACAGTTTGAAGCATTGCCTTTGAAGGTCAGGATGCTGCTTTGGGATGATAGGTTTAAAAGAAAACTCAAAAGCTTACCATAGAGCCCTCATCACCTGTTGTTCTGGATTTGGAATGTGACTGGCTAAATATGCATTGAGTCAGTTTAAGTCAGATCAGCTCTCCACTGAAGCCCTCTGCCATGGTTTATCTGCTGCTGATTAGAAAGCTAGGTAACCTGTACCCACTCAGACTAGAAGCCATTGCTAGAAAGAAGAGCCTACAGAGGGCCTCCTCGATAGGTCAGCACAGATAGCAGAAGGTTCAGCAAACATCAGCCTGAAAACTTGCTCGGGGTATCATATCATTTCCCACACACTGAATAAAATATTAAAATCTAAATATTTAAATCTATGAACTTTGAACTATAACTGCTAATAATTTTCACTGTGCTTGTTCTGATTTTCTAAAATTCTGTAACCTAAATCCCTTTACCCTCAAAGTGCCCCAGTCTTCTTTCCCTCTTCTCAGAGGCTTCTGCCCTCATTACCTTGCACATTAATTCATTGTGCTTCATGTCTTTCAACTTCAGTTTTCTCTTTTTCTCCCCACTCACTCCATTCTGCTTTTCTTAGAGCACTACTTCTGGAATCCTGACTGTGTTTTGCTTTAGTTGAGTGGCCTTGAGCAAATTACCTCAGTGCTCTGAACTTGTGCATCTATAAAGTGGGGATAATTGTACCAGCATTCCAAGGTTGTTTTAAGGATTAGCTAAGACCAGACATCTTAGGTGCTGCTACATGGAAAGTGCTTGATAAGTGGTAAGTGCTTGATAAGTGTGAAGAGCAGTAGAACAGTTACTTGAGGAAATGGACACCTTTGTGTTTAGAGTTCATTGAAACTCTTGTGTGGTGCTTTTTAACTTAGCCAGGAGATGTTACTTCTGTTATCTTTCCATGCTTCTGTGCTGCTGTCTTAGACAATTATGGTAGTTTCTCCCTCAGTATTCCCCCATCCCTTCCTTGCTACCTTCTAAGCTTGTCATCTAAGTCAATGAAGATGCAGAGACTTTCTTCCTCCGACCTTATTCCAACTCTTCTTTCTTGGTTGCCTCCCCAGGACAAAAAATAAAGCATCATTTAAAGTTTTTACCATTACTAGGCTCCTAACAGGATTCACCTGCATTCTTCCTAAGGAAAAACCTGACATAATCCCTTAGCACCTCATTCCCCACTGCCAGGAGTCCCCTTTCAGCTTCATTTCCATGTTCCAAGAGTAGTAATAGTAACATTTTCCATTCGTTTGGCTTCTAATGTGTGTCTGAAAAAATCAGTTAATCTTCACAGGAGTCTTATGAGCTAGATCCAAGAGTCTCTCTCTCTTTTTTTTTTTTATAGATAAGGAAACAGTTTTGTCACTTACCCAAGGTCACAGAGGTATACATGGCAGAACAAGGACTCAAACCCTGGCCTCTGACTTCAAAACCCACAATGTCCCCATTGCCCCACACTGCCTCGATGAGGATCCAGAGGTCCTCGGTCCCTTCTTTCATAGAAGACAGGAGTAGGGAGGAGAGCTGGGGCCTACTGATACCCCACAGGACCAAGCTAGTGGACCAGGGGAGGCATTCACCCATTTAATGAATGGCTCTTGATCAACTGCAATAGGCCAGACTCTGCTAGGCCCAGGAGACAAAGCAGCAAGGCAAACCAGACCCAGTTCCCACCCTCATGGAATGCAGTCTAGTGGGAGAGGTGATCAAAAATGAATGTAAAATTGCAGCTGTGATAAATGTTACACAAGATTGATACACTGTGTGGTGATGACAGCATATTCATAGGCCTTTCAACCTGAGATCTGAATGAAGGCTAGGGTTAACTAGTTGGGAAAAGGAGAGCTCCATCAAAGACCCTGTAGAAAGAGGAGCATAGCAAGTTTAAAGGGAGTGAAAGAATGCGGTGGAGCATAGTGCATGGTAAGGCCGGAGAGTGAGCAGGGGGTCACACCACCCAGGGCCTTCATGGGCACTTTAAGGAGTTTGGTCTTAGAAGCTCCCCAGGGATTATCAGCAAAGGGTGACACCATTAGAGGTGCATGAGTGTTTGAGCACTGGAGAGTCCTGGCTTAGCTGTTTATCAGAGCCTAGCTTTCTGAATCTAGGTTTCCTCACCTCAAAATTTTGGAGAGTTGGACCAGGTGATCTCTAAAGTCACTTAATATAGAACATTTAATTCCTTCCATCCTTCCTTCCAGCTCCAAGGTCCTAAAAGTCTATCTGTTTTGGAAGAATTAGGCTCCCTGTATCCTGGATTGCCCCTAACAGAAACTGAGCAAGTGTGCCTGGGGTGTGTGTGTGTGTGTGTGCGTGCGTGCGTGCGTGCGTGTGTGTGTGTGTGTGTGTGTGTGTGTGTTTTGGGACAGAAGAGGGAGAATGATGGGGCACAGAGCTTCTAAAGCAATCTGATTTTTGTCATATGTTAAAAAACTCTCCTGACATGGCATTCTGGAAGGGAAGCAGGAGACTGCAAGTTGGTATAAAGAGAAAAGAGAGAAAGGAATGAAGAAAGGGTAACATGGAAAGATCAGGGGATGGGGAGAGAAGGAGAAAGAAAACAGTGGGGAAGGATTTGGGGGATCGGGTTAGAAGAGAAGAGGATGTGACTCAGGAATTCAAAGGCTTTTGGTCTGCTTGGCAGTTCTGGGCATACCTGGTACACCTCAGAGATCCTAGCATCTCCAGAGATTGCCTGTGGAATTTGCATATTTAAGTGGTTTATTGAGCCTAAGATGCTGAGCACTCAGTAGCAGCTTATAGCTTATACTCACCTTTGCTTTAAGTTTCTAGCAAATGTGGGGTCAGGGGATTTCCTACTAAACAAGGTTGGGTCTGGGGGTTGTCTCCCTCTGCTTATTCTCTACACATTCCCTTACCTGGAGCAGCAAGCCCCATACTTGCTCCTGTCAGCTAGTTACAGTGCTGATGATGTGGAGGCAGATGCACAATGAGCCTAGGCCTGCTGACAGCCAAGGAGCCTAAGGGAGAACACTGCCTGGTTATGCCTTCTGGCTTCTTGCCCCTGACTCCTATCATCTAGCCTCTCTGGAGCTGCCTCTGGAAAGTCACTCTGAATCTGCTGGCATCTAGCCTTGACGCCTGATTGAGAGGGTACTCCCAGCCTTTTCTGTAAGGCAGGTCAAGTCTTCTCATAACCTGGAGGGTCCTTTTCAGAGGTCAGGGATTTTCAGGGCTGAGCCCTGGAGCTCTTAGGCACTGAACAGGCTGCTCCAGGCCCTCTCAAGCTCTCTCTTCCCCTCCCCTTAGTCTTACTGAGCTTTCCTGCAATTTTGGTCCCATGCCTCTTCTTCATCTGACATGTAGAGGGTGTGGGGGGCTGGCTCCTTCCAGGTATACATGTGGATGCACACCTGAGAGGCCTCACCCTTCCTTGGAGCACAAATTCTTGATACAAGTGTGACTCCAAGCCTGTGAACTGGCCATGTACCTGTGGCCTGTTTTGCCAAATCACTTGTACTCTCCCCACCTGCACCCCTTCCTGAGTTATGTGCGAGAGCTGTGGGAAGATCGTTGTCCCTGATGCCCTTTGTGAGTGTGATCAGAGATGGTGCTAGTGCTTAGTTGACCCGGTGGGGATAGGCTTCCAGGGAGTCCTTTCACCCTCAAGGAGCTGCAAAGATAGGCCCTTGTGGGCAGGGAAAGGAAGGAAGAACAGGTTGCAGTCATTTGCCGTCAGTGGCAAGTGGATCCCCTCTGCTGGGTGACTGGAATTCCCAGGTAGTGTGGGAGCTCCTGGGAGAGCTGTGGTTTCGTGTTAAGTCTGTTGTCTCACTCGTCTCCCCAGGTGTGTGGTCGTGCTGTTCAATCCCCGGAAACACAAACAGCACCACATCCTCAACAGTTCCAGGTAAATGGGTATGGGCCCTCAGGGAGCACCTCTTTCTCCTGGAGACTTTGAGGAGGGCACTGTCTGGGGTTCTCTGGGGAAATGCCACATGTGCCATCGATGTTTGCTGGTTTTGCCTTTTGAGGGGACTGTGAGGGAGCCAGGCTTAGGCCAGGCTGCCAGCACCCCTCTGACCTGCCTCATCTCTTACAGAAAAACTATCACTGCCCTTGCCTTCTCCCCTGATGGCAAGTACTTGGTCACTGGAGAGGTAAGTGAAGAAAGAGGACTGCAGTTTTCTGAAGAGGGTAGGAGGCCTGGCCTCAGCACAGAGTTACAATCCTAGGCCTAGTTAAGGCTGCTTGCCACTTTGACTTCGTGAACAGATGCCAAATCCTGTTTTTTGCTATACCTTAAACTGTGGTTCTTGAGCTTTAGTGTATATCAGAATAACCTGGAGGGCTTGTTAAATTGCACAGTGCAGGGTTTCTGATTTTGTAGGTCTGGGATGGGACTCCAAAATCTGAATTTCTAACAAGTTCCCACATCATGCTGTTTCTGCCGGTTTGGGAATCACCCTTTTAGGGAAACACTGCCTTAGAATGTTCCTTGTCCCCGGAGGCCCCCTTCTGGGCACATGAAGAATACCTCTACCTTCTCAGTCTGAAAGGGAGGTCATGGGGGCAGAAGTAGGCATGAGTAGTAGTGGTCCTCAACCCTGGCTGCCCATCAGGATCACTTGGGGAACTTCGAATAAATAGAGGTGCAGACCCTTATCCAGAGATATTGAACAAAATCTGGGGCCTTTTTCTCCCCGATAATCATTGTTGTCTTGAGATATTTATTGTGTTTCTTCTCTACTTTTTCCTTGTGTAGCACTCTGCCCTTGACCAAGAGGTCATTAGAGAGATTGTATCCAATTGCTGGGGATGCAGGGGTCCCTACTCTGAAAGGGTAGGGGGTGCTGTGTGCCTCTGGCCCTCACTTCTAGTTCTTGCCTCCCTGCAGAGTGGTCACATGCCTGCCGTGCGGGTTTGGGATGTGGCTGAACGTTGCCAGGTGGCAGAGCTGCAGGAGCATAAGTATGGTGTGGCTTGTGTGGCCTTCTCTCCTAGTGCCAAGTACATTGTCTCCGTGGGCTACCAGCATGACATGATCGTTAACGTCTGGGCTTGGAAGGTGAGTAGGCTGGGTGGGCTGGCCCGGCAGCCTCATGGGGGTCCAAGGGCCTGTTGGGGCACCAGGAAGATGCTGACCTGAGCCCCTTTACTCCACTCTGCTGATCTCAGTCTCATTCTGGAAAGTAATCTGAAGCAGGAAAGAACAACCATATAGCCAAGCATGTTGGTAAAAAGGGGCTAGTGTCATCTCTTTGAGGATCGCCAGAGGAAATGAATCTATTCAACTCCTGAAAGAAATTCTCCTCCCTCCCCTTTTTACTCTGACCAGTAAATCCTGGAAACTTTTTGAGTACAAATCCTATCTAACCCTCTATCCTCTGAGCCTCTTTCTTCTTAGCTCCAAGAGGCAGACCCTTGATTTTTCCTTTGGCTTTCCCTCCAGAAAAACATCGTGGTAGCTTCCAATAAGGTGTCCAGTCGGGTGACAGCAGTGTCCTTCTCTGAAGATTGCAGCTACTTTGTCACTGCAGGCAACCGGCACATCAAGTTCTGGTACCTCGATGACAGTAAGACCTCAAAGGTGAGATGCTGAGGCTGAAGTAGCCATCAGGGTCAGGGCCAGCTCAGCCCACCTTAGAAGACCTTGCTCCCATTTGGGCCCCTCTTTGCTTGCTCAGCAGACATACAGAAGTTCTGGATAAGCCAGATACTCTCTGGGCCGAGGAATAGTCTCAAAGAGCCAGGGGCCCTGGTTTCCAGAGGTGGGCTCTGGGGTAGATGGGTGGGCAACAGCGGTATTTCTCCACAGGTGAATGCCACTGTGCCCCTGCTGGGTCGCTCAGGGCTGCTGGGAGAACTACGGAACAACCTGTTCACTGATGTAGCCTGTGGCCGAGGGAAGAAGGCAGACAGCACCTTCTGCATCACATCCTCAGGGCTCCTGTGCGAGTTCAGTGATCGAAGGCTTTTGGATAAGTGGGTGGAGCTGAGAGTAAGTACTTCTGGCTCAGTGGTTTGGGAGTGCCCGTATCTTAGCTCAGGGGAGAACTGATGCCTATAGCTTCATACCACAGGCTGGGCCCTCATGCATGCAGGGGGGGACCCCAGGAGAAAAGCTTGAGGAAGCCAGAGTTTGGCCCAGTTCCAACCTGTGGAGATCTGTATAACTGCCTCCTCTCTGCTCTCTTTCTGTCTTTCTTTCCCCTGCTTTCCTCTTCTGCTCAGAACACAGACAGCTTCACAGTAAGTGGTGCCTAGACTCTCCTCTCTTTCTCAAGCTGTTTCTTTCTCTTTGCTGGGTTCTTCCTACTTGGTTTTCTTTGCCAAAACCTCTAGTAACTTTGAGGGGTCCCTGACTCCCATCCCCCCAAATGTAGCTGTGGTTCCTCTGGCCACCTGTTCTTGGAGGGAGGGGCATTTCTAGATGACAGCTGAGAGGCTTAGTCTAGAGCAGCTGGGCTGCTTTTCCCTTGCCCCTGCCTTGGCTGGTCTCTCCTCTTGGCAGGTGACTGTTGAGGAAAGGCTGGGCAGGTGACCCTTGCTGACCTGAGCCCCTCTGCTTACAGACCACCGTGGCCTACTGCATCTCTGTGAACCAAGACTACATCTTCTGTGGTTGTGCTGATGGCACTGTGCGCCTCTTCAACCCCTCTAACCTACACTTCCTCAGCACCCTGCCCCGACCCCATGCTCTGGGGACAGACATTGCCAGCATCACTGAAGCCAGGTGAGCTATGTGGGCCCCCTACCTTCATTTAGAGCCTCACGCTGTGCCCAGCCTTCCCTGGCTGTGCTTCATGGAACAAGGTGAATAGTGTATCGATGCCCCAAAGAGTACCAGAACACCTTTGTAGACAAAAAAATTAAGGTTTATTGGTACTAGTTGTAACCAAGGAGAACCAGGGACTATCTTAGGAAGTGGGGCGTATGATAAGTAGCAGGGAATATTGTAAGATTTGAACTGTGTGAAGTGATTTTATGAATAGTTCAAGAGATTGAAGTTTTGCTCTGGTTGGATGCTATTAGGAAGGCGGGAGCAATTCTCTAATTGGACAGCCTAATAATTTTTATCTAAAAGTTGGGAGCTAAAGCTGTAATTGGTAAAGAAGCAGCAGTCAATCTTTATAGATGGGAAAGAATGATGTTCGGTCATATCTGTGGTTTGTGCAGTGATCTTGTTTTTATCTGTGCCCAGACACAATGACAGAGTAGTTTTGTTTTTATTTTGCTCTGTCATGGCCACAGAGTGACCTTGTGTGTGACATTCTGTGACATTGTTTGTGTTCAACAGGAGAACACCATGGCCCAGCAGCTAGTGCAGGTCAGCTCCCAGCTGACAGCTGTCAGGGGTTGCTTTTTTCTTTCTTAAGCAATTGCTTTCAAACCTGCAGATCTGGAGAGGGCTTCCCATGCTCTGCTCCTTCCTTCATGGGCTGGCTTTAGTTTTCATTCCCTTCAGTCGTTCATTTTATCAGCTCCTCACTCACCAGTTTACCCTGTCCTCTCTCCCACAGTCGCCTCTTCTCTGGAGCGGCCAATGCCAGGTATCCAGACACCATTGCATTGACCTTTGATCCCAATAATCAGTGGCTGTCTTGTGTATACAACGACCACAGTATTTATGTTTGGGACGTGAGAGACCCCAAGAAAGTGGGCAAGGTGTACTCGGCTCTGTATCATTCCTCCTGCGTCTGGAGTGTGGAGGTATGTGGGCTGGGCTGGCTTGAGACTGACCAGATTTGTTGGGATACCATTGTGAAGATGGAAAGTGGGGATCCCCAAGTATAATGTTACGTTCCTGCTTCCTCCTCGTTTCTTCAGCAACACCCCTGTGTATCTGTCTAGCCTCAGATGGGTCCTGAGGATTGAGTTTGAATTTTCGTGCTTATGTATCTTAGACTTTTAATGTGCCACTGTCCATCCTTAGCTTCACCTTGTTCTAGGCTGGGTGTTCTTGGACAAGTTTCTGAACTTGACTGAGCCTCAGTTTCCTCAGTTTGTAAAGTGACGTACCTGATTCATCTAATTGTTCTAAGTGTTAAATGAAATAATGTAAGTGGGGGATAGAGAAGAGTCCTGGTGCATAGTGGGTACTTGGTTAATGTGCTTTCCCTTAGTGATTATGAAGATGATCTATTAGTTACAGCTTGCTGACTGTGTGACTGGGCTAAGTCTTGGCCAGCATTATCCCTTTAATCGCATTCCCTTCTCCCTGGGCAGGCAAGAGACTGCTCCCTACCTAGAGATCTGATTTTGTTCCCTTTGCTCCTTTAGGTCTACCCTGAAGTGAAGGACAGTAATCAGGCCTGCCTGCCCCCTAGTTCCTTTATCACCTGTTCCTCGGACAACACCATTCGCCTGTGGAACACAGAGAGCTCTGGGGTGCATGGCTCCACTCTGCACCGAAACATCCTCAGCAATGTGAGCCCTGAGGCCTTAGGGCCCCACTCCACACTAATATCCCCATCCCCTCAGCCTTCACACCTTCTCAGGAATTGGGTCCCCAGACTGTGATCTTCCAGCTCTTATTTGACTGAGCTCAGAGAGCCAAAGGTTTATCTTGTCCAGCATTCCTCTCCCCTTGCGGTTGTACTGAGTCAGGCCTGCCTTATCTACTTCTCCTGACCTCCACTAGGACCTCATTAAGATCATCTATGTGGATGGGAACACTCAGGCCCTGCTGGACACTGAGCTGCTTGGAGGAGACAAAGGTGACGGGTCCCTGATGGATCCCCGTGTGGGCATCCGCTCTGTGTGTATCAGCCCCAATGGACAGCATCTAGCTTCGGGGGACCGTATGGGCACGCTCAGGTAATGTGAGGCCTGGAATGGGTATTGACAGCCTTCCGTGGTACAGGCCAGAGAATTTAGGTCCCCAAGTACAGAGCTTTAGAAAAATTTGGCCCCAAAAGATTGGGGATCAAGATATCTATATACATGGAAAGATAATAACTTTAAATGAAGAAACCCAGCAGAAACCATCTCAACCAATGATCAAGCTTAACATCCTCATATCAATGTCATGAAGCTCATAATATGATATACTAAAAAGGACATAGCATTGTTTCTGTGGTATTCTTGCCCAAAATGCATAAATTTTGTCCAATCTTGAGAAAACATTAGACAAACCCAAGTTGAGGTATTTGCGACAGAGTACCTGTACTGATCAATACTCTTCAAAAGTGTCAAGGTCATGAAAGGTAAAGAAAGACTGAAGAACTGTTGCAGACTACAGTTCTTTTTGGTTCAAAAAGATCGGGGATCAAGATATCTATATACATGGGAAAGAGCAATAATAACTAAAAGTACACCAGATGGGATCCTGGGGATCCATTAAAGGATATTGTGGAAAAATTGGTGAAATTCAAATAAAGCCTTAAATTAATAGTATTGTACCAGTGTAGATTTTATGGTTTTGGTAATTGAACTGTTCTTATGTATGATGTTAACATTGGGGAAAGATGAGTAAAGGAAATATGGAAACTCTGTATTCATTGCAACTTTTCTTGAAGCCTAAAAGTTCAAAAATAAATAATAAATTTTGAAAAAGGTTGGGGGAGAGGTGGTAGCAAAGGAAGCAGGGTGAGTCTCTCCTTCTGAAGCCTGGCAGTGACCTCCTTCCTCTCCTCATCTTTGCAGGGTGCATGAGTTACAGTCCCTAAGTGAGATGCTGAAAGTGGAGGCCCATGACTCAGAAATTCTGTGCCTGGAGTACTCTAAGCCAGACACAGGTAAGGAGGATGCCTGGTCCCTAGCCCAGAATGGTACAGGCCTGCACCATTCCTGCCAGTGCCACTTATATCTGTCCCGGCTTTTGGATGTTGGACCGTAAGTCCTTTGATTCATTTGGTGTCTTTGTAGGTATAAGGAAGGACAACTCCATCTGTGCTTCGTGATTCACTTGGCTTAGGGATATAGGCTCAGCCTCTTTGCCAGACCTAGATATGGGCCTGCTCTGGGCACTCGTGGGCTGATAGAGTTCTTCTAACCCCAGGTCTGAAGCTGCTAGCCTCGGCAAGCCGGGACAGGCTGATCCACGTGCTGGATGCTGGACGAGAGTACAGCCTACAGCAGACATTGGACGAGCACTCATCCTCCATCACTGCTGTCAAGTTTGCAGGTGGGGGCAGGGCAATCGAGATACATTCTGCCACATACCACCAACATCCCCTCCACCCACTGCCACCTGCCTCCTGCTTCCATGAGAAGGGCGTGCCTGTCACGTGGGGTGTGGGGGATGTTAGACAGCAGCTGGAAGGCCTGGGGCTGGAAGACAGGTGAAATGTAGACTCTCAGTCCAGGGGACCTGAGCCAACCAGGTTGGTTGATAATAGGAAGAAAGGAAAGCCTAGGTTTGGAGGGAAGCATCCTGATTTACTTGGTTGTCCTAGCCATGTGGAGTAGCTTGATAGGGGAGGGAATACTGAGGGAAGGCAGAGGAAGGGCTGGTCCTGTGTGAGAGCAGTGGGAATAGCTAGGCCCCCTTCCTCCATAGCCAGCGATGGGCAAGTCCGCATGATCAGCTGTGGAGCAGACAAGAGCATCTACTTCCGTACTGCACAGAAGGTGAGGGGACGGGGCTTCCCTGAATGGGGCAGTGGGTGGTGGTAGGGGTCTCTACCAGTCCCCTACCTGAGATTGTAAGAGGTAAAGAGAGGAGAAAGCAGGGATCTCTGGGCCTGGTGAGGTGTTTGGGCTTGGGGTCTGCCCACGTGCTCCACCCCTGCAGTCTGGAGATGGAGTACAGTTTACACGGACACACCACGTGGTACGGAAGACGACCCTCTATGACATGGATGTGGAGCCCAGCTGGAAGTACACGGCTATTGGCTGCCAGGACCGAAATATTCGGTGGGAATCCCTTTCTCAGACCATCTGACCACACTCCTTCATGCCCAACGGGGTCAGCTTTAGGCAGCTCAGTCCCTATGTCTGTCTTGTCCAGGACTTTGTGCCCCCTTGAGCCTACAGAATGAGTACTTTGCCTCACCCAAGAGGTGGCAGTCCCTTCAGTGTTGGGGAGTGGTTCCCATAGAGAATGGGGCTGGGAATGAGTGCTGGCATTACTGCCACCCAGGTATGCTTGATCATGACCTCCTCCTCGTGTGAATGAGAATATGTTTCTTTACAGCATCTTTAACATCACGGAAGACGACCCTCTATGACATGGATGTGGAGCCCAGCTGGAAGTACACGGCTATTGGCTGCCAGGACCGAAATATTCGGTGGGAATCCCTTTCTCAGACCATCTGACCACACTCCTTCATGCCCAACGGGGTCAGCTTTAGGCAGCTCAGTCCCTATGTCTGTCTTGTCCAGGACTTTGTGCCCCCTTGAGCCTACAGAATGAGTACTTTGCCTCACCCAAGAGGTGGCAGTCCCTTCAGTGTTGGGGAGTGGTTCCCATAGAGAATGGGGCTGGGAATGAGTGCTGGCATTACTGCCACCCAGGTATGCTTGATCATGACCTCCTCCTCGTGTGAATGAGAATATGTTTCTTTACAGCATCTTTAACATCAGCAGTGGGAAGCAGAAGAAGCTATTTAAAGGGTCACAGGGTGAGGATGGCACTCTGATTAAGGTAAGGGCCCAGAAGGATGGGCACTGGGCCAGAGAACAGAAGGACGGGCTGCTAGGTGGAGAGAGACTGGTGCTTCCCATCCTCTTCCAGCTGTGTGTCCCACCCCTCAGGTGCAGACAGACCCCTCAGGGATCTACATTGCCACCAGCTGTTCTGACAAGAACCTCTCCATTTTTGACTTCTCCTCAGGCGAGTGCGTGGCCACTATGTTTGGCCACTCAGGTGAGTGTAGCCCAGCACTCTACCCTTGGAACTTTACTCTTTCTTCCTTTGGTTTCTTAGGCCCATCCTATCTGCCTGCCCCTCCCTTCTAGCCAACCCACTTCCCCTTGCCACTGTTGGAACAGAAGCTTGGCTGGGACTTTTGAGTGGCTTATAGGCCATATTCGTTGTTCTTCACAGAGATTGTCACTGGCATGAAATTTAGTAATGACTGCAAACATCTCATCTCTGTGTCAGGGGACAGGTAAGCGGAAGCCACAGATTCTTCCTCTGTGCCACAAATACATCCTGCTCCTCCTCTTTCTTCACCCCAATAATGTCTCTGTCAATTAGGGCTGAACAAGGATATTTCTTGACTGGGCCTGACCTGGCACTAGAGGGTGGCTTTGGTGTCCTTGCCAGCCCATGGAGAAGGGGGACGGATGGTGTTGCCACCCCCAGGGTCCTACCCTAACCATCCCTCACCCAACTTTGTGGCTCTACCCAGCTGCGTATTTGTGTGGCGCCTGAGCTCTGAGATGACCATCAGCATGAGGCAGCGTCTGGCCGAGCTGCGCCAGCATCAGCGAGGGAGCAAGCAGCAAGGACCATCTTCTCCCCAAAGAGCTGCTGGGCCCAACCGGTGAGAACAGAGTATGGGATAAGGGCAAGCAGTGACTGGGCATCCAGATTGCTCACTATGATCTCACTGCTCTTCCTCTTTGCTCTGGACCTGCCATTCAGCAACTCTGTATCCCCCAATGCCCGCTTTTCACAAAAAGACCCATGATGTTGGACTCTTCCTCCTTTGAGTTTTCTCTCTCCATGACCTTCCTTCTCTTGGCACAGGCATGAGGCCCCATCAGTGCTGTCTTCTGGACCAGCTCTCTCATCAGACAGTGACAAGGAGGGAGAAGATGAGGGCACTGAAGAAGAAGAACTTCCAGCTCTGCCTATCCTTGCCAAGGGTACCAAGAAAGAGCGAGGTCTGTAGAAGTCTGTTATGGGGTCAGACAGGAACCAGTTGGTATAGTGGTTAGAACTGCCCTTTCTGGGACTGCGGGGTGTAAGAGCAGTGTAAGCTGAGGAAACTGGAGCATTGTTGTGGCCATGTAGGATATGGGCTGGTGTGGGGCCAGGGCTCCAGGGTCGGGGGCGCAGGAGACACTCTCTCTGACTGCCTGTCTCTGTCTAGCCTCGGTGCCCAGCCCAGCCCTGCCCCGAAGTCTGTCCCACTGGGAGATGAGTCGGGTGAGTCACCATTGTTAAAATGCCCTTCCAAGGTTACAAGAGATGAAGGAAGGTGAAAGCAGGGCTTTCTGGGCCTGGAGAGTTGGGTGTGGGGTCTGCTCACATGCTTTACCCCTTGTGTCCAAGGAAGAGCCTTATGGGGGAAGTTCAGGCAGGTGGGCTGGCCCTAGGTTAGAGATGATGAAGCCCAGGTACTTTTTTCCTGTAGGCCAGGTTGGGGGCCTGCAAGGGTTGGTCTTCCCTAGGAGAGGTACTCCACCCATTCCGTGACCTGGAGGCCTTGGAGTAAATGTGAAAAATACCAGGTTGAGATAGGGAGTAGAAAGAAGGTGTGTGAGCCACACGGTTAGAACTTAAGTTCAAGAAAATCAAAGATTCAAAGAGCAGAAATGTGGAGAAACTAGTTCTGAAGACCTCAGTTTAGGAGGTAAGCTTAGAATTTCAGACCTCAGTTTAGGAGGTAAGGTAGAGGGGAAAGGCCATAACTGAGTGGCTACTTTAACCAGAAGGAGGCTAAAGGCTTTCAGAGCAAGCCCCAGGGCAGCCCAGCCCTCACTTGTCCCATGTCAGGATTTCAAGTGCCAGTACCTTTCATTGTCAGTAGCAGTTACATGGAATGATAGTGGTGTGGTGTCTTTGGCATGTTCTGACAAGGCCAGGAGTCTCAAGGCTGGGCTGTTAGTTAGTTCTTGGTGCCATTGGGGCTGTCCTCAGAGTAGCGGACTTATAGAGACTCCTAGCTTTGAGGTTGCCATGACAGCAGGTGAAGACAGAGACCAGAAGACAGGACGTAGAATGAAGATAAGAGCATGAACTCTGGAGTGAGACTCCCTGAGTTGTAACCCACAGGCAGGCCACTTGTTGTCTATGGGACTTGGACAAGTTATTTAAACCAGCTGTGCTTTGGTTTTTCTCCCATCTATAAATATGAGAATAGCACCTACTTCATGAGGTGGTTTTGAGGTTTAAATGAGCTGATATGTGTAAAGTGCCTAGCACACAGTAAGTGATATATGAATGTTTGCTAAGACTATTGTGTAATTGTTATTGTTATTCCTCTCCCACGCCTGCCCTGCACCAGGCACCGGACACGGTGGAGTTCCTGGACCCAGCTCCTGCAGCCAACCAAAGACCCAGAAGAAGAGGGCGCTGGGCTCAGTCTGGCATTGAGCTGAGTGTTCGCTCCATGCTGGACCTGCGGCAGCTAGAGACACTGACCCCAAGCCCTCGGGGCTGTAGCCAAGACTTGCTGGCCATGAGTCCTTCTGGTCCTGGGAAGCATGATCAGGAGGCCCCTGAGACCTCACATACTATCCAGGTGAGTCAGCTTTCTTCCAGTTCCCTAAAGTTCTCCAGGCAGCCTTAGCCAGCCTTGTGCCAACAGCTGGAGCCTGAGCACTGGTCCAGCTATGCTTGCTCTGCTCATGTGGCATATGGGTAACCTGAACTGCAAAGTCAGAGTAGGGCTGGGCAGGCTGTGTGGTATGGTGATTGATGTGAAGAAGCAAAGGGTAGCCTTTGTCTTGGGTTGGGTTCCTTGGAGGGCTTATGATATTAAGTGGTGGCTGGAGGTTGGCAGCCAGAATGCTAATACAGTACTTCGAGAAGCTCAGGAACACTAGTTGGAGCCCAGCCCAGCTTCTTGGTGTCTGTCCTCAGATTTAGAGTATCCAGCTTCTCCCAGAACGGTGCACACCAAATCCTTACTTACCTACCTCCATCCATTTTCTCAGACTCTCTGTCACATCAACAACTCCAGTAATTGCCCTTTGTATGTTTCCAGAATGAAAAGCACCCTCGGTCTCAGACTTCACAACCCTGTTCCTGCCCCCACATTATCCGATTATTGTCCCAAGAGGAAGGGGTCTTTCCCCAAGATCTGGAGCCTACACCCATTGAAGATGGTATTGTCTACCCGGAGCCAAGTGACAGCCCCACTTTGGATACCAGGCAAGCATCTTTCTTCCACCAGACCCCTGAGGCCATGCAGCCCCCAGTCTCTCTTCCCTTTGAGTGTTCTTTAATGAAAAGAGGGTTGGCCTCAGGGCACTCAGGCTTGCCTGCCACTTCACCACTGCCTCATCCCCAGTCCTGCTCATAGGTGGGGAGAAGGAAAGCAGGAGTCTAGTGGGCTGCTGCTTACCCCTGCTCTTCTTTTCCCTCTTCTTTCCCCTGCCGCCTTCCCGACAGTGAGTTCCAGGGGCAGGCATCAGCGCGAGGGACCCTGGGAAGAGCGTATCCAAGCAGCAGGGGCTCAGAGAAGCATAGCCCTGACAGTGCCTGTTCTGTGGATTATAGCAGCAGCCGCCTTTCTAGCCCTGAGCACCCCAATGAAGGTGAGGCTGCAGCCTTGAGGGAGGGCCAGAGCCACACAGGTCAGTGGATTGAGGTGGGAGTGGAGACTCTGGCGACAGATGGGTGCAGTGTGATGCTTCTTTCTCTCTCCCCCACATCCAGACTCTGAGAGCACGGAGCCCCTGAGTGTGGATGGCATTTCCTCAGACCTTGAAGAGCCAGCTGAGGGAGATGAAGAAGAAGAGGAAGAGGAGGGAGGCCCTGGCCCCTATGGACTGCAGGAAGGCAGCCCCCGTACCCCGGACCAGGAGCAGTTTCTAAAACAGCACTTTGAGACTCTGGCCAATGGATCTGCTCCAGGTGTGGTCAGAGGCCCAACATTTGGTCACTGTAATCTGCCCTGCTCCCCTTTTTGTCTGGCTAAGAGGGAGGGTCCAAAGGCAGAGCATGCCCTGGGGTTGCCTTCTCGGGGGTGGGGGAGAATCTGGGGCAAGGGCTTCCTTCATTTTATGATTTCTGTCACCTTGGCAGGAGGCCCTGTCCGAGTACCAGAGAGGACAGAGTCTCAGAGCATCTCTTCACGATTCCTGTTGCAAGTGCAGACCCCCCCACTCAGGTATGCTCCCCACAGCAGTTCTTGCTCTCCCACAAGGAGCTCCAGCTCTCCTGACCTCCCAGTGCTCCTAATAGGGGGACATTTCTGCCCCTGGGGCAGCATGTAGCCCTTCTCTCTCTAAGGCTTGTCTTTCCACGTCCAACAGTATTTTGTACTTCCAAGTTTTGGGGCTGGCTGACTTTGTGCCTGCCCTTCTCTCCTAGTGCTTCCCTAGTGTTGAGAGAGCTTCTCCCTATCTTGGCAGGGGAGAGCCTTAAGCCTCCTCTGGGCCTTCTTCCACATTTCTTCCCTTTAGGGAACCATCCCCATCTTCCTCAAGCCTAGCACTGACGTTGAGACCAGTCTTGATGCCACAGACTTCTGGCGAGCAGCTGAGAGGCAGTCGTGCCAATCCTCCAGGAGCACCCCCAGAGGCGGAGCCTACCCCCGGAAATCCTGGCCCCCAGCAGGCAGCCCCTGTGCTGTTGCCACGACGCCGTCTCAGCCCAGACAGCAGCTGGGCACCCAAGAGAGTGGCATCAACCAGCTCCTTAGGTAGACTCCAGAAGGCCCAATCTGTGCAGAGTCTGGTGCCACAGGGTAAGGAGCCTGGTGGGCTCAGCTCTAGAGTATGGGAAATGTAGAGCACATGAGCATGCTAGAGAAAGGAGGGCCTGATGAGCCCTGATGTGTCACTGTGCTTGCCACTGGGTGTCCTTTAGTGGGTGTGTGCAGGGCATAGCAGCTCCTTGGGAATTGAGCCTTGGCACCTGAGATACCTTCCTCACCATTTGACTTGCATGTATCTCTATCTTCTCTGTAGGGGAGGCTTCTCCACCAGGCCCATTGCTCTTACGAGAGATAGAGGCCCAGGAAGGCCTGCGTTCCCTGCCCCAGGCTGATGGCCGTCTGTCTCGGCCCCGTTCCTACCAGAACCCCACCACCAGTTCCATGGCCAAGATATCCCGCAGCATCTCTGTTGGAGAGAATCTGGGCCTGGAGGCTGAACCTCAAGCTCCTGCCCCTGTTCGAGTCTCACCACTTAGCAAGCTGGCCCTGCCCAGCCGGGCTCACTTGGTCCTGGACATTCCAAAGCCGTTGCCTGATCGTCCTACCCTGGCCACATTCTCACCTGTTACCAAGGGCAGGTCTCCTGGTGAGGCGGAACAGCCTGGCTCCCCAGTGGGCCTAGGAAAGACTCACAGTACATCTGAGAAGCAGGCCTCTTTGGGAGAGAGTACCCCTCCCAGGCCTAGGACAGAATGCCAAGCTCAGCCTGGGTCTAACAGCCCCTGCGCGCAGCACCTGTCAGTGGGCAGCCTTCTCCAAGGCTCTGAGAACTTGCAGCCCCCACCTCCTGAGAAGACTCCCAACTCCATGGAGTGTACCAGGCCAGGGGCAGCCCCAAGCCAGGCCTCAGGTGTGCATGGCTCCCCAGCTCTTATCTCCTGCTCCATCTTCTCTCTTCTGTATCTGTTGGCTGCTCTCTGGCTCTATTCCATTTCTGTGTGTTCAGCCTCTGGTGTTTTTTTGTCTTGTCTGCTCCTGTCTCAGTCCATAAGTCACACGCCTGATGGTGAGACACTCCTGTCAATCTTCATGATCTCCCTGTGACCCACTTGCCTCTCAATGCCTAGCCCTGGGGCTAGGGCTGGCCCTTTCCTTTGGACCTTCTTTTCTGTGTGATGCTGGGAGGGTGTTGGGAAGGAAGAGGCAAGAGGAAAGGATTGAGGGCAAGTGGAGAGGGTGTGATGCTTGTGGGGTAGGCTTGTCCTGCTGAGTGGCTGCAGGTGGGGAGGCCTGAAAGGGCAGCTTTGCTGGGCCTTAACTGAGCTGTCTCTGTCCCTCCCAGAACCAGCAGTGAGCTTGGAGCAGTGTGAACAACTTGTGGCAGAGCTCCAGAGCAGTGTGCGCCAGGCCGTGCAGCTCTACCACTTGGTACGTATTAGGCACCCACCAGTGGGAAGACAGAGCATGTCAGGAATGCTGAGTATCCAGAATAATGATAA